CGCCCCTTTGTCTGCGCCGCGCTCGGGGACCCCTGAAAGTCCGCTGATCGCTCCCTGCCACGCCTGAGCCCTCGCTGAGCCCAGACCTCCCTAGGCTCTGACCTCAGTACCTCGAACCCCCACTTTTCTCTCGCGCCACCCGGTCCCCCCTCCCACGCCTGCCAATTGCTCAATCCGACGAATCTCTCCTCAAAGCTGCAGGTGATGAAATGCACTACTTAGAAGATGGATTGGCTCTGAGGCTGGGGGCTTGGTGGAGAGGAGCAGGATTGGGGCGGTGGGAGGATCTGGCAGGATCTGGGTGGTAAGGTCTCCCGCCCAGAGCAGACTATGGGGCGGGTAGGGGCATGCAAGAAGGGCTGAGCGTGAGCGATGGTGCAAGGTGTGTGCCCATGCACAGATGTGGGGTGCTTATCTGTGGGTACCTGGTGGGTAGGGTCATGTACACCAGCATGGATTTGAGGTCTGGCTCAGATCCCAGAACATTGCATCCCCCATATCATTTTGCCTCCCCACTTCCGCCCCCCATCATTCTGCCTTTCTCACCAGCAGCACATTAAACTCAAGGGGATGGAATTAAAGGCCCTTCAGCAATGCTTTTTTAAAAAAGATAAGTCTCATTTACTCTAGTCTGGTCTGGAACTCAAGAAGTAGCTGAGGATAACCTTTGAACTTCTGATCCTACCGCCTCTGCCTCCTGAGCATTGGGATTTCAGGAGTTGAGATCACAAGTGCTCACCACCACGCCCTGTTTTACGTGGTGGCTTCCTGAACGCTGGGCAAGGACTCTGCCAACTGAGCTACAATCCCCAGCCCAGCAATGGTTGGGTGGGTGGGTGGGTGGGTTGGTTGGTTTGGTTGGTTGGTTGTTTGGTTTTGAGAGAGGATCTCCCTGTAACCCCACTGGCCTGGAACTTACTATGTCAACCAGGCTGGTCTCCACCTCACAGAGATCTGCCTGCCTCTGCCTGCTGGGTGCTGGTATAAAGGCTTATGCCCCCACACCTTGCCCAGCAATGCTTTTTAATACAAAGCACAAGTCAGCTACCTCCCCTCCCTCTGATGGCCTCTGATGACCGTAGTCTTCACCTAAGAATAGATAAGTTAGATAATTATAGCTAGGATTTATGGGCTGTTTCCAACTAGGCAGGCTCAGGTCTAAGCCCTCCACATGGAACTCACTCATCTAAAACAATGCTATGAGAAAAGTATTGCTGTTGTTACCATTGTACAGTTGGAAAAGGTGAGGCACAACTAGTAAACATGTGTCCAGAGGATAGTGATTTCCAGTGCAGGACCTAAACATATGTGTCCAGTCTGCACTGGAAATCACTATCCTCTACTGCCTCAACTTCTGCTTTCTAAGTCCTTCTTCCCCCAAGCTTTCCTTGACCAGATCCTCATAGATATTTCCCCTCTCCTGTGCCTGTCACCTTACTGGCAGCCAGTAGGAGGTACTAAAATTAGGTAGGATTTGAGCAAAGCCTGAACGAAACAGCCAAGTAGAGAGGTCACAGGCTATGATCGGAGGACAGTCAATCTCTTTAGAGCTAGGCGCCTCACAGAGTCCTAAAAGTGTCAGGCCCTAGGCTGGGGAGACCACCTACCATAATTTGAAGCCTTCTGATCCTCTGCTGATGGCTAATCTTGGTTGTCAACTTGACATTCCTGGGAAGAGAGAACCTCAATTAAGGAATTTCCTCCATCAGACTGGCCTATGAGCATGTCTGTAGGGGGACTGTCTGGATTGTTAATTGATGTAGGAGGCCCACCATCCTTAGGTGAATGGGCCTAGGCTGGTAAGAAAAGTAACTGAAAGTGAGCCAAGGAGCGAGCCATTAAGTATTCCACTGTTGGTTTCTGTTTCAAGCTTCTGCCTTAAGGTCTTGCTTTGGCTTCTCTTGATGACAGACTGTCACCTGTAAGCCAAAATAAACCAAGTTGCTTTTGGTCATGGTATTTATCACAGCAATGGAAAGTAAACTAGAACATCCTCCCAACTCTTTGTACTCTTCCTGAGTTCCTAGTTGTCTCCTGTATCTCTTCTTGCCATTTTTGTTGGGGCTGACATAGTTGGGGTCATTGGTGAGAAAGGTCTTAATGAAGCCAGTCCTCCTCTCTTCTCTCCTTAGGTAGGACTGCACATCCCCTAGTCCCTTCCATGTTTCTGGCTTGGGGCTGCAGCCTGCTCAGTTCTCTGCTGTATCCCCTGCCCCTGTTGATGTCAATCTCATCCTTCATTCCTCCTAAGAAAGGCTCTTCATGTGGCTCCCAAAACCTGGATTAGATTTCCTTGTTGTAGTCATGGGATTTCATTCTACAGGAGGGGAAGAAGGTGGTAGTGACTTTCTGTCAGAACCCTTTCCAAATGCATGAGCCTTTCCCTATTCCCTCTGTCCCCAGGGACTAAGAAACCTCCATTCCAATTACTAAAACAGGCTCCCAAACACAGAAATCTCAGAGACCCACATGGAGTCCTGATGTCCCTTTCCCAGACTGAGTGGCTTATATATTAGGCTTCTGGACCCAAATCTCATTTACCTGTGCAGGCCAGACCTGTGTAAGGTCGAGGGCAGGGATAGGACCCTCCAAGGCCTATATGATCGGGGGTTTGATCTTCACACCTACAGAGCATCTTCAGGTCCATTTGTTCAATCTTTACAACTGTCACAGGTGAGGAAGCTATGTCTACCTCAGGTCTGCCCTGCACAGGAGGTACAGCAGTAGCCTCAGCCCTTCCCATATCAGTGGCCAGCGTACCTAATGGGTAACCACAATTCAGGCTAGGTTGACTCAGCCACTGGGGTGCTATCTCCCAGCCTCAAATTCTGCTTTCCTGACTGTGGCTATGACTGTGCTCTGGCCAATTTGCTTTCCAAACCCACCTCCACCCCCAAAGCTGGGTCTGTCCCAGCTTCCTACTAGTCACTAGTAGGAGTCCTGTAAACAGACAATGCACCTCACTGTCTCCTTCACCAGATTATCTTTTTCTCACCTCAGCCTCTATCTCACATCTCACACCCTCCTCACCCCGGCACTTGGGCTTAGATTCAGCATCCTTCTCTTACCAATCAAGTGCTCTAGCACTGAACTACATCTCTAGCCTTCAGAAAGCTTTTAAATTTTTAAATTATATTTTTAGAATCATTTATTTTTATTTTATGTGCTTGAGTGTATTGCCTACATGTATGTAAGTACACCGTATCATGCACTACCCTTGGAGGATAGAAGAGGGTGTTGGATCTCCCAGAACTGGAGTTATGAAAGGTTATTAGCTGCCATATAGGTGCTGGGATTGGAACCCTGGTCTTCTGCAAGAATAACAAGTGCTCTTAACCACTGAGCCATCTCTCCAGCATCCCCATTGTTTGATTTTTATGTGTGTACCACATTATGTGTGGAGGGCAGAGGACAACTTGCAGGAGTTGGCTCTCTTCTTTCATCATGTGGGTTCCTGGGATCAAACTCAGGTCATCAGGGTTGGCTGCAAGTACCCTTACCCACTTAACACCTCATAGGTCCCAGAGAGCTCTTTTATGGAAAGGAACTTTACTTGTTTTTACTTTATTATTTAATTTTATTTATTTTGAAAGTCTCTTATAGTCTAAGCTAGCCTCCAACTCTCTATGTAGCTAAGACCTGTCTTTTTTATTTTTGATTATGTCTACTTGTAGCCACATTTGGTCTGGAACTCACTGTATAGACCAGGCAGACCTCCATCTCACAGAGATCCACGTGCCTCTGCCTCCTGAGTGTGCTACCACACCTGGTCTTGAACTCCTGATCTCCTACTTCCATCTCCCATGTGCTGAAATTAGGCTCAGCAGGTAAAGGTGCTTGCTGCCAAGCTTGCTACTCTGGCTGGCCTTAAATCCTCCTATCTATGTAGCCCAGGATGACCTTTAACTCCTGATCCTCCTGCCTCCATCTTCCAAGTACTAGCATTACAGATGTGCACTACCATATCTAGAAAAATGTTTCTTTTTTGAAATGCTACAAACTGAACCCAGGGCCTTGCACATGCTAAGTAGGTCACAGCTATACCCTCAGCACCTGAACTTTTGAGAAATTAATAAACCATTATACAAACTACTCTTAAGTAGAAGATATAATCTACATTGACATCTACTAATATCTGAAGTCATATACATTATTATATAGTACATCTAAGGGCTGGGGATACACTTAGTGGTAAAGTGCTTATCTCACAAGTGCAAGGTTCTGGGTTCAATATGCAGCACCAAAATAAAATAATAAAACCACATCAATGTCAGGACCACTGAAGGACCCTTACTTGGTCTTTGACAGTCAGGGCACCATTCAGAGCAGTGATGACTCAAGGGTTGGGTACATGACTGTATGTATGATATATCCCCTCTCAATCTATTCAGATCCAAACGTGACTTAGGACAAGGACAATCCCCCGCGATGTCAGGGCAGAGGCTCTATCTCCAATGTCAGCCTGGGAGGACCCTGAGACTGCCAGGCAAAGAAGTTTGAATTCTTCTTCCCTAGTATCTCTCTGACTTCCAGCCCTTGGCCCCAACCCTAGGACCATATTGAAAAGTAGAACTCATCAGGCTGGAGAGATGGCTCAGCAGTTAAGAGCACTGGCTGCTCTTGCAGAAGACCTGGGTTTGATTCCCAGCACCACAGGAAGGCTAACAACTGTCCATAACTCCAGTTCCAGGGGATCCGATGCCTTCTTCTGACCTCCACCCGCATTGAATGATACAGGTGCACTTACATACATGCAGGCAATACACTCATACATGTAAAATAATAAATAAAATATATTTTTAAAAAGTAGAACTCACAGCCCTTCAGAGAGTTCCTGAAGCAATACAAAGAACTGAAGAAAGAAACGACTATACCCAAGGGGTTATGGAAAGAAACTTAATGAAGGTATAACCATGGAAAAAAAAAGCAGAATTCAGATGGTGTGAAAGAGGCCACCAGGCATCAGGTAAAACAGAAACACATACTCAAGAAATTTAAATTTCTGCCTCAGTTTATTCATTCTTGATCAGAGGCCAGGTTCACATTCAACATGTAAGAACTATAGAAAGTCCCCAGGTCCCACATTTTACCCATCAAGGAGAGAACTCTTTGGAGATAGAACGGAAGAGCCCCCACATTTTGACTAAGGGCAGAGTCAATGTCAGTGACTTCTACATCACTGGTCACCTGCTACTGTTCCTTCTTCATGCCATTTCTCATCCACTAGGATCTTGTGTTCTCTTGGTACCCAAAACAAAGCAGCAGGCTCCACTACCATGGTTCTCCCCGACATTCATTCACTCTCCAGCCCATGGAGCTTCTGGTGGAGCCTATCAATCCCTATTTAAGGGGCCATGTATCGAAAGAATATAACCAAGCATCCTAAGAGCATTAGGAGGCTGGACTGACACTGCTCCCTGCCCCCTTGGAGAGCTGAGCTCTGGCTCCTCCCGACAGTCTGATTTCAGAGAAATGGAACAAACTGACTGGCCGTCCAATTGTTGCTAAAGCAAAGTAGGCACAGCAAGGTCAAGGGAGGAAACAATCTTGGTGCACCTGGTCTATTACCTTACAAGCACACATTCCTTTTTATCAGAAGCTTAAATACGGATTTGACCTCTCTTCAATGGAGAGGTATCGTTTGTTTTGGAATTCCACTGTCCTATTCTTCACTGCGTTCTACCACTGTCATCTCTCCCACCCCCAGCTCCCATGGCAGAGTTCAAGAGGACCATCCCCTCTCTTCCTGTATCCCCACTCCTACCCCTGCCATGGTCTCTACTACCATGCCAGTTCCCTCCCCAGTCCCAACTCTCCACCAGCTGCCCTGACCATACTGTAGGCAAAGGTACCAAGGAAGGCCAGAGCAGCCAATAAGCCTCTTTCAGGGTTGGGGGTGTAGCTCAGTGGTAGAACATTTGCCTAGCATGCACAAGGCTCTTGGTTCAATCCTTAGCATGGCAATAAACAAAACAAAAAAAAACAACAACAACAACAACAAAAAAAAAAACCTCTTATAGGAAAAGCCAGTATCAGGGACAGCAGCCTACCTGGCAAAGCAAGGTCTGAGTTGAGTGAGAGGAAGGGAGAAGGAAAGGTATCATGGAAAAATCCCGGAGAATGGATCAACCACGACTTTCAGATAAATGACAATAAGATAGGCTTCTTTCTCCAGGAAGCAGTGAGACTCTGGAGAAAAAGGTTGGGGTAGGCTTTGGGGAGCACAGGTATAGACAGATCCCCTGCAGGTAAAGTTGACTGTATTCACACACACCTGTTTATAAGTCTCTCTGCAAATACACATGTTCCTAACATATATATGCTTCTCATGTCAGCACTGGCACATGAAGTCTCGGCACACAAAGGTTCATTCATACCCAAAACAAGCCTGTACAGTCCACCCGATGCAAATGCTTACATATCTTCTGCACATACATCCTTACTCAGGAACATATACACATTCCTGCATACCTATTCACACACACATACAAAAACATACATGCTACACAAAGCACATATAAGCTCATTCACACATGCCTACACACACCTGGCTAAATGTTAGCACATAAACAGTTATTCTTACCTGCACTCATGCCAACTAATAATCATGTACTTACTTGTATACAACCACACACACATCTGCCAAGTATACACATACACCCTTGCACACTGGTACACACACTTAGCCCTGGTCCTGGTGCCTGGAAGATTCTTCCCTCTGCTGGAGACAGCGGATAAGTTCCTTTCGGTTGTCTAGGATGGTGTCAAAGCTCTCCTGCAGTCGGGCCTGCTGATCAACCAGTTGGTGCTGCAGGGCCCGGATCCACTGGAGCAGTGCCAAGCGACGGTACATCACCAAGTGCACATGGTGCTTCTCCTTCTCCTGCTCTTTGTAGCGCTCCTGAGCTTGGAGCTGCCGTACAGCCTGGGCCACTGAGGGTAGGAGGGGATCCGGAGAGCCTGGACCTCGAGGAGTCCCACAGGCAGGTTCTGGACTGCTAAGGCTATCGATGCTCAGGGTGCTGCTGGCATAGCCGATGTCCTCCAGAGGGGAGCAGATACTGCCGGCACCTCCCAATTTCTCAGGCTCAGCACCAGGAATCTCTGCACCCTCTGGGGGGCTGCGGATTCCCCCCTCAGGAAGCCCAGTGGCTTGAAAGGCCTGGTTATCAGAGGGTGACTCAGAGGAGCTCCTCATCAGGATGGGCTCCACTTTGCTGGGCATCCCATGCCAATTCTCATTGGCATCCTTGGCACTCTCCATGAAGTTGGAATTGCTGTCTGGTTGGAGCTCAGGCTGACATACTCCTGGAGGCAGGCCCCCCAGGAACTGGGCCCCCTCTGCTAGCCCTGGCTGGATGGCAAACATCTGGTCTGTGAAAAAGCAGAAGAATGAGTCATAGCAAGACAGAGGAGATTGGCCTGAAGTTGTAACAACCTTGACACAGACATCCCTTCTCTTCTGTGGTTTCCTATGCTTCTCTCTGATTGTTTGTTCTGTCTCCCTCACAGGGTTTTAGGTCAACTGTCTCCTCATTCTACATACTTTCCCAAGATCACCTCATTTTTTATTGTAGCTTCAAAAACCATCATATGGCACTCAGGAGCCAGAGGCAGGTGGATCTCTGGGAGTTTGAGGCCAGTCAGTCTTTCTGGGAGCTCCTGGCAAGTCAGGGTTATGTAGTGAGACCCTGTCTCAAAACAAAACAAAACAAACAAAAAGCCCAAACCACAACCATCATGTGTGGGTGACTCTCAGATCTGTCTCCAGCCCAGATCTAACTGCTAATCCACACTGCAACCCACCACAAGTGCTTCAAATTCTCTAAATTCAAACAGCTCTCCTCTTCAGGGTCCTTAGCAAGATGCCTGTCTACTCAGCTGATACAGTCAGATGTCTGGGAGCACCTGGACTGTTTTCTCTCCTTCCCTGCTTACCACATTCTGAAAATTCTTCCTCTTCACTTTCACTTGGCTCTGATCATTCTTCTCTGAACGACTACCAAAGCCTTTTCACTGATCTACCTCTGATTAACAATATAAATTTAGGGCCAGGCATGGTGGTACAGGCCATTAGTCCCAGCACTCAGGAGGCAGAGGCAGGTGGATCTCTGGGAGTTCAAGGCTAGCCTGGTCTCCACAGTGACCTTCAGGCCAGCCAGAACTACACAGTGAGACCCAGTCTCAAAACGAATATGCACGTGTGCGTGTGCATGTGTGTGTGTGTGTGTGTGTGTGTGTGTGTGTGTGTGTTTAGCAAGATGGGGAAGCTCCATTGTAATTCCAGCACTTTAGAGACGGAGGCTGGAGGACTGCAAGTTCAAGGCCAGCCTAGGCTACATAGCAAGATCCTATCCCCCAAACCATCCTTCTTCCAAAATTTGATTCAACATAACTTTGAATGCTGTCCCTAAAATCCTGTTAAACTTGTTCAGTCCTTGCTTGACCTCGTCCTCTGGACTATTACTATTCGAGCCTTGTCATCACAGCAGACTGCTCAGAGACCCCCTCCCATTATTTTTGACCCCAAAATGCATCACCATTCTCCAGGTGATGCATCTCCACCCATCGGCCTACAGTATTTTGCCTTATCCTTACCTCAAAGTTCCTCTGCTCCATCCAGAAAATTCTCTTTTGTATTTTAAAACTCATCTCTAGTGTCCCCACCTCTCTGAAGCCTTCCAGATATTGTAACCTGGCCCTGATATACACCAACTACATTTTCCACAACTTCCTCTGACTGGCATTGCCCCAGGGCATGCGCTGTCTTATCCAAGTGTGTTTCCTATCCCTGGAAAACACTGTTGATGATCAGCAAATGCCTAGTCAACTGGAACTGTTTGTTTAAACAATCTTGTGACAGTTCATAATCTGGCTCCCTGGTGAGACTCGGAACTCCTTTATATAGCTCCCCTTCCACCCTGTCCCCATCACTAGCAGGTGTCGGTATATATCTGTTGAGTGTGGATGGGAGAGGGGCTGCAGTGGGCCCAAGGCTTGGAAGTACTGGCCTCACTTTCCTCCTCCCCCATAGGGAGCCCCCCCCTCCAGCACACACTGACCAGCCTCTCTTGCAACCGCTCCTAGGACATGTTCACTGTACCCAGCTGCTCCATCCTGAGGTCCTCCCCTTTCTTCCCTAATGATAACCGTCTACAAAAAAGTGGGTTTGAACTGAGGTTTCTACAGACCACAGTGGTACGATGGGAAGAACTAAGGATCAGTGAGTGAGGGATACCGGGAAGTCAAGCAGCCATTAGGAAGATCTCATATATACGTGGCAGGGACCCTCCCCACAGCCAGTAACGGGCAGTCCAGGGGGAGTAAGACAGGGAAGGATGCTTCAACCCTCCGGCTTATGGAAAGGGCCTGAAGATGTTCCCTCCCCTCAATTTTTTTTCCTTTTTCCTAAATCTGGCCGGGCCCACAAAGGAGGTTGGCCTGGGGTGGGGCTGTAGGGGGTTTCTAAGGATCACGGGTTCAGTCAGTGAAATGGAACCCGTACATCTCATGGTCAGGACTCCCTCCTAAGCTAATTCGCAATTCGGGGGAGAGGGAGTGTAGGATGTGGTTGGCAGTCTAGCAGCAGACAAAGCACAGTGACCCTAATCTCTGCTAAGGAGGCAGCTCCGGGGTGGGCCCCAAGCTCTAGATCAGGGCGGGACTCACGGCCTGGAGGCTCCCGCTCCTGCGGGGGTGGCTGTGGTTCCGCTGGGAGCGTCACCGCGGGGCGGGGGGTCCTGGGGGCGGAGGTCCTCGGCCTGGGTTGCACGCGTTCAGGCCTGGTGTGTGCTCCCTCCACCGCGCCCCGGACAGGACTGCGGACTCCGGCGGCGTTGGTGAGGCGGGGCGGGGCCGGATTCACGTGGGTCGGTTCGGTTTCTCAGCGCCGGAACCGCCTCCTCCCGCGGCTCGACCCGAGCCTTCCAGGTCCGGTGTCATCTCCTACCACCCTCTCTGGGCGCCTTGGAACTGTACGATCGCCTCGCCGCGAAAAAGGCGGCGATGCCGTGCTGAAAATCCGACCGTGCACCTCCTTCCGGAAAACCTGCGCTTGGCTTCCCGGTGGCGCGGGAAACCTGTGCATGTGAGGTCCAGCGCGGAGTGCGTGGGGTTCCCCCAGCCGCTCCAGCTGCATCTTGACGCTGCACTTGGACCCAGCGCTCCACTCCTGCGTTTGGCTTTTGCACAAACTCTTCCCTCTGCCTAAATTCTTTCCCCTTACTCATATTTTAAATAATTAAAAATATATTTATTTATTATTTTTTATTTTATGTGTATAAGTGTATTGCCTGCATGTGTGTAAGTGCACCCGTGTCATGCAATGCCCACGGAGGTCAGAAGAGGGCGTGGGATACCCTGGAACTGAAGTTATGGACAGTTGTTAGCCACCATGTGGGTTCTGGAAATTGAACCCAGGTCCTTCCTCTGCAAGAGCAGCCAGTGCTCTTAACCGCTGAGCCATCATATTTCAAATTTTTGTTAAACCTTCTCTGACTCCTAGACCCAACAAGTTCCCTCTTTTATTCCATCTGGAGGCATTTTTCCTTTTCTTAATAACATTTCTCACAGTGTGGAATTGTGTCTCTCTGTTGTGCCTATTTGTTAAATTCATTTAATGAAAGCTATGTTTTAAGAGAAGCCAATCTGGGGGCTGGAGAGATGATTCTGCGGCCAGGGCAGCTAACAGCTCTACATAACTCCAGTTCCAAGGGATTGCCACCCTCTTCTGACCCACGTGGACATGCACATTGCACAACACGGGTGCATTTACATACATGAGTCTCACTGAAGGATAGCAGTCACCTCCAGAACTCTTCCATGGGGCCTGCTCAGTGCCTTTATCCAGGTAAGAAGGAAGCTGGATAAGACAGGTTCCAATATCTAGTGGATTCTTCTCAGAGTTCTACTTACTGAGCCCTGATCCTCCTCCTTCCCTCCCTCCCTGAGAGAAATGTATAGGAGTGAATGATCCAGTTTTCTTTAAGATTTACTTTGTGTGTGTGTGTGTGTGTGTGTGTGTGTGTGTCTGACCATGTGTGTATAAGCACATGAGTGCAGTACCCAGGGAGGCCAGAAGAGGATGTCAGAGCCCCTGGAGCTGGAGTTATGAGAGGTTGTGAGCTGCCTGACTTCAGTGCTGACAATTTTTTTGGTCTTTTTATTAATTAATTAATTTATTTATTTATTTATTTTATGTGTATGCATGTATTGCCTGCACGTAGGTAAGTGCACCCATGTCGTGCAATGCCTACAGAGGTCAGAAGAGGCTGTCAATCCCCTGGGACTGGAGTTACGGACAGTAGCTGCCATGTGGGTGCTGGGATTTGAACCTGGGTCTTCTGCAATAACAACCAGTGTTCCTAAGAGCTGAGCCATCTCTCCAGCCTCTTTTTGGTCTTTTTTGAGACAGGGCCTTCCTGTACCCTCAGCTGGCCTGGAACTCACTATGTAGACCAGGCTGGCCTCAAACTCACAGAGAGTGCTGGGATTAAAGGCGTGTGCCACCACACCTGGCCAATTATGACAATATTTTAAAAGGACTTAACAAGTTGAATGTGGTGATGCACACCTTTAATCCCAGCACTTGGGAGGCAGAGGCAGGCACATCTCTGAGATCAAGGCCAGCCTGGTCTACATAATGAGTTCCAGGACAGCTGGGGCTACAGGGAGTCCCTGTCTCAAAGCCCAAAAAAAAAAAAAAATCAACCTAAAGGGGCTGGAGAGATAGTTCAGTGGTTAAGAACCCTGGCTGTTCTCACAGAAGACCTGGATTCAAATCCCAGCACCCATATGGCAGCTAACAACTGTCTGTAACTCCAGTTCCAGGGCCCTCTTTTGACTTCTGTGGGCATTACATGATTCAGGTGTGTATATATATATATGCAGGCAATACACACATACACATAAAAAAAATCAACCGAAATAAATAGCAGGAAGGAAAAAGCAGAAGTAACTCAAATTTAGGACACTCTGCTTAAAAAAAAAAAAAAAATGCAGGCTGGGCATAGTGGCACGCCTTTAATCCCAGAACTCAGGAGGCAGATCTCTGTGAGTTCAAAATTGGTCTGGTCTACATAGTGAGTTCCAGGCCAGCCCTACTACAGGGAGACCCTGTCTCAAAAGGACCCCCCCCAAAAAAACAAGTGCTGGAGCGATGACTCAGCAGTTAAGAGCACTGGCTGCTCTTGCAGAGGACCTTGGTTTGGTTCCCAGCACCCACATGGCAGCTAACAACTCTCTGTAATTCCAGTTTCAGGTGATCTGACTCTCTTTGGCCTCTATGGACATTGCACTCAGGTGGTGCACTTACATGCAGACAAAACATGCACATAAAATATAAATAGAGCCGGGCGTGGTGGCACACACCTTTAATCCCAGCACTCAGGAGGCAGAGGCAGGTGGATCTCTGTGAGTTCAAGATCAGCCTGGTCTACATAGTGAGTTCCAGGACAGCTGGAGCTACAGGGAGACCCTGTCTCAAAAAGACCAAATATATAGATAGATGAGAGATAGAGAGATAGATAGATAGACAATTTAAAATTTTTTTATATTTTATTCATTATCTTTATTTATTCATTATATTTATTCATTGTCCTTATTTTATGTGTACGAGTGTATTACCTGCATGTAGGTAAGTGCACCCGTGTTGTGCAATGCCCTCGGAAAACAATGTACGTGGAGGTCAGAAGAGGGAATTGGAGCCCCTGGAACATGAGTTCTGGACAGTTGTTAGCTATCATGTGGGTGCTGGGATTTGAACCCAGGTCTTCTGCAAGAACAGTCAGTGTTTTTAACTGCTGAACCATCTCTCCAGCCTCAATTTTTTAAATTTTTTATCATTTTATCATTTTTATTTTATGTATAAAAATGTATTGCTTGCATGCATGTAAGTGTATATGTGCCAAGCAATGCCCACGAAGATCAGAAGAGGGTACTAGATCCCCTGGAACTGGAGTTACAGATCATTGTTAGCCACCATGTGGGTGCTAGGAATTGAACCCGGGTCTTTTGCAAGAGAAGTCAGTACTTTTAACTACTGAGCCATCTCTCCAGCCCCAGTAATTTTTTTTCAAAAGAAGACAAAGTCATAAAGATATAAGCCTGCAGCAACGATATTTCCTGCCAAGTGGAAGAAATCCGTTTATAGTAGGAGAAAATGAGGCTGATACACAGAAGCAGAGATGTCTTTACACTTGGCTAGGACCTCAATCACTGTTTCCTGAGCACTTCTAGTTTTGATGCCTTCCCATGAAACTCATATTTTGCCAAGCCCAGCTTGGGTGGAATTTCTTTCATGGATAATCAAAAGAATCCTGAATTAATACAATGCACAATGTGGTGACCCTAGGTTCCAATCATGTACTGCTGTTGTATAGCCATTTCCTCCAAATGGAAATATTGGAGGGAGACTCATAAGACTCAGAAAGCTGATGACTCCCAAGGCCCCTCTTCAAGGCAGTAAAAACAATTGTGGGGAATGGGAGACTGTCCCCAGTGAAGCTGACTGCAAGTTGTACAGGTAGAGTGGGACTTTCAGTGATATAGCTGCCTTTGAGTCACCAATGCTTCTATGAGTAAGCCCTCTTCTATGTTCCTATAAGTAAACTCATTGGTTCACTCAGCTAGACGGGTAGAACTGTCTGGAGTAAATGCCTCCCCAGAAAAACTCACAGAGTAACTGGTTAGCACTCATTAAGTAGCAGTTCCATTTCCCCTGGATGGTCATTATCAGACCAATATGTGCTGTGACTGCCAATATTGCCTTTAACTGAGAGGCCATTGATATATCTATTATTTGGAAGCAACTAGCTTTATAGAACAATTGAAGCCGGGCCTGGTGACACAGACCTGTAATCCTAGCTACTACGGGGACTATGACAGAAGGATTGAAATTTTAAGGCCCACTTGTTCTACAGAAAACAATGGAATTGGTGATTAAGCTATATACCAAGTTGGGGTATACAAGACCAATATATGCTCCTTCCTTTAGAACTATAAGGAGCCCGAAATGCCTGATACACAACGGAATTCTCCCTGTGTTCCTGGTTAGAAACATTGCTCCTTAGGCGCTGACCTGCAGAACCAAGAAACTCAGAAACAGCAAGCAAACCCCTAACGTCCTCAGATGCAATCATATAAGGTCCACACCCTCCACTACCCTTTTTATGTGTATTCTGGTTCCAGAACACAAAAAATTATATATTGAAGACAGATACAGTGGTGCATACCTTTAGTCCCATATATTTAGGAGGCTGAGGCAAGAAGATCTCTTGAGACTAGAAGCTAACCTGGGCAATGTAGTAAAACCCTGTCTCAAAAAGAATTATATATCAGGGCTGGAGAGATGGCTCAGTGGTTAAGAGCACTGACTGCTCTTGCAGAGGACCTGGGTTCGATTCCCAGCACCCACATGGCGGCTGTGAACCGTCCTTAACTCCAGTTCCAGGGAATCCGAAGCCCTGTTCTGACCTCATGGCATTGCATGACATGGGTGCACTCACTTACATGTAGGCAATATACTCATACACATAAAATAAAAATAATAAATAAAAAATTTTTTAATTATATATCTATTGTGTTAAGATCTATATTGTACTTTGCAGGGTCGTACCCCAACCTGGCATAACTTAATCATTAATTCCATTGTTCTCAATAGAACAAGTGGGCCTTAAACTTTCACTCCTCCTGCCACAGCCCCCCGTAGTAGCTAGAACTACAGTACAGCTCTGTGTCACCAGGGCTGGCTTCTATTGTTCTATAAAGTTAGTTGCTTTCAAATAACAGATTTATCAAGTGAATTCCAAGGGCACCAACAAGACTTGGCCTCT